CACTGCCAATAATTGCGTGTTCAAACGGATTTTATTCTTTGAATCGAAAATATTCTCCATTAAAGAGACTTGACAGGTCAATGAAAGTGTACCATCATACTGGAATAAGGGTCATCATGAAATAGTATCGTCGGATTACTAGCTGTCTGTGAAGTCGTGTGGAAAGTTCATCGTTTTAAAGAAGTTTACATAGTTTATCTAAATCGGAAAAAATGCACAACTTTTGAGATTTCATCGAATCCACCGTTTCAAAGGCAAAAGAAAAAGTCCAAATGCACAGTAGATTTTGAATTTGTCCTAAAGTCCATAAAACGCAAGATTGGAATCAGCATATGAAGTAGCCAAAGCAGAAGAGGATGACGAGGGTAGAAAGACGAAGAAAGGTCGTTAAGAAAGGAAGAAAAGGCAATGAAGAGAGGGGGCTACTTGGTTACTTCGCTATAGTTTTTTTTTTTCACAATATTAGCTTTTCAACGCAACGGAAGACGCATGATAACTCGACTGATGGCACTTGCAGAAAGAATGTTTTTTAAAATGAAAACGAAACTACCAGGCTTCGACAGATCGCTCATTTTCGATCTGTATCGTTTCGTCAATTGCAAATAGCAGGCATGCAGCGTGATTCAGAAGGGGACGTTCGGAAAAACAGATTTTTTCTTAAGATCGTGTGATTTTTGCAAGAAAAAAAGACGAATAAATTTATGCCATTCTGATCAAATAAATGATACCAGCATATTATTTCCTGATAATAAATCTTTCAGTAATTAGGAAGTCACGCACCGTAAACAGGCCGATCAACGCTGATTCAAGACTGACTCTAGTGCTCTTCACTGTCATGTTGCTCTGTACCCTAATCAGTGTGCGTCACAAAACAGTATCCATTTTGAGCTCTCCCACTGTGCTAAAATCAATATCAGACATATTTGGTTCTAGGCAAGATTGCTTCAGACTGTAACCAATAGCTGATCGAAACCGATTTTTTGCAAGTTCTCATTTTAGCTAGATGAACTGGAAGCAGCTTTTCAAAAGTCACATTATCCAGATGTGTTCGCTCGCGAGGAACTTGCTGTGAAGATTAATTTACCAGAAGCTAGGGTACAGGTAAAGCTTTTCAGATATTCAACAAAATGATTTAACGATACCAAAGAAATCGAATCATTCACAGAGCTTTTTGATTTTCCACAGAATTCTTTCAGTAGTCAGACTCGGAGCTTTTGTCCCCCTACCACCACATATCAACTGGGAAATCAGTGTATCAGAGGTTTCTTTTTTTGTTTCTTCATTTCCGCTAAAAGACAGAAAATCGCAAGCTGAAAAACCCCCAACAAGGTGGAGGTAAGAAGAGAGTTCGGTTTCGCTAAAAGATGGAAAAGTCCTACAGCTCTAGTCTGTTTCGGAAGAACTCAACGTTTTTTCGTTAATCTTCTGCATTTTGCAGGTGTGGTTTCAGAATCGTAGAGCGAAGTGGCGCAAAATGGAAAGAAATGATATCAAAGTTATGCGGCGTCATGAAACGGGGCCTCCTTTGCAGATACATCAGTCCGGCCTTATTCAAGGATCTCCATCAGTATCAGCACAACCGCAATCAACAGTGAGCCAGTTCTGCTCAATACGAACTCTCACCCGAACATAGTCTAAATAATTGTTCAGCGTACTGATAGCCGATGTGAAGATGTGTTTCTTGCACAGTTCCCCGCAGATTATTGTCGCTAGCGACATTGTTTTTTCCGGTAGATGCTTCTAGCTAAAAGAATTGA